TGCCTTATAGAATGATTAGGTAAGGACAGCAGGACCTGAGATTAAAGGGATAGTGTGTGTGTGTGTGTGTGTGTGTGTGTGTGTGTGTGTGTGTGTGTGTACGAAAGTAGAGATAGATAGAGGATAGAGATAGATGTTAAGATAAAAGGTAGGTGGAAGTTAGAGATCAAAGATAAAGACAGATGTTAAGATAAAAAGGTAGATAGATGATAGAGATAGATAGGTGTTAGAGACTGGTGATAGAGATAGATGTTAAGATAAAAAGGTAGATAGGTGATAGAGATAGATAGATAATAGAGATAGAGGATAGAAATTGGTAGATGCTAGAGACAGATAGAAATAGTTGAAGACAGATGATAAAAATACCTAATTAATCTCTTTGGATACAGACATCTCTATAAGTCTCTGTCTATATCTATCTAGTTAGTTTTTCTTTCCCCATCTTCTTCCTAATGCCTATACACCAAAGAACTCAAAACCTCATTCAGATCCATCTCAGAAAGCTGGAGGTCCACTTCTTCAGCTTTGTAATGCTCCGGCCAGTTCTAGGAGCGTGTGGGTGGTCGCTGGGTGGTCAGTGGCTGGACAGTCAGTGGGTGGACATCTCGGGACTATTCAGATCTCCAATGTCACACCACACAAGAACTCTTCCTATTGGCTGTGGGAGGGTACTGCCTGGGTTAGTCTCCATCGGGGAATCTCAGTCTGTTATGTCTCCCCTTCTCCCCCTCTCTGCCCCCCCATTCTCCCCCCTGTTTAGAAGAAGCATCCTGGAGATTCTCAGAATTTTTCTGTCAGATTCCTCTGGGTTCAAGCTGAGGTGAGGGACTCAGGTCAGGACCCCTTACAGCCTCCAGCCCGGGATATCTGGACTTGTCTTTTGATCTTCTGTGTCTACTCCACACCCCAAGTTAGTTAATCTCTCCTGGGGGAGAACAGAGGCATTTGTTATTGGACCATCAGGAATTAACTCCTTTGGGGGTTTGCATGCATCCTTGGATGACAAATCAAAGCTGCACCCAGGTCAGGCGCCGGTGGTTCACGCTGTTCAGGAGGCTGAGATTTGAGGATCAACAGTTCAAAGCCAGCCCAGGGAGGAAAATTTGTGAGACACTTATCTCCAATGGACCATCAAAAAAAAAAGTGGTGCCGTGGCTCAAGTGGTAGGGCACTCGCCTTGAGCAAAGAAGCTCAAGAACAGTGCCCAGGTTGAGTTCAGGTCCCAAGAACCAGCACCAAAAAAAAAAAAGTACACTGGAAATATCTTAGTAAAACCCAAGACTTGAACACAAACTCCCTGACCTTGATTTATATATATATATATCACTGCAAAAATCACTGGCAAAATCAAATGAGTAAAATAAAACTTGTAGCTTAGGGTATGGCTCAGGTGGTAGAGCACCAGCCTTGAGAAAAAAAAAAACAAAACCTCCTACCCTTACCCCCCATCCATTCTATTACCCTCCCCATTGGTCCTAGAAGTGTTGAAGGTCTAGCCAGCATCTTTCTTACTGTGTCCCTTTGCCTGAAGTTGCATGTGGCGGGCTCTCCTGGACCACACAGGCCCAGGCTGCAGAGTGGAAATGCTGGCAGGGGCCTGGTGGCTCAGTGAGGTCTGCCCCACCCCCATCCTCCACCCTTCATGTTCCCTCGCCCCTCCTCCTGTCTGCCCCTGGCCCCAGTACATAAAGCCCTGTCGTAACCCGAGGTTTCCGATTGGGTTCTGGCCCAGCCAGCTCATGCTTGGTGCTCTGGTGTGGCCCCCCGCCACTGTGCTCTTCCCAGGCCTTCCTTTGACAGCAAGCCGGGCTGCTTCCCCACTGTTCATGCCACTACAAGAAAACTTCAGTTGCTCAGTTGTCCAAAGTCTTACTTGTCTCTGGGGAAAACAGGCACGCACACAAAAAGGACCTTGCAGCTGGTGATTGAGGCGGAGTGACATCTTTCAAAGTCCTAGGGAGGACTGAAAGCCAGGCTTCCCCGGGGATTAGCCAGGCATTCATTGCCTTCAATGAGGGTGGGAGATTCTGCCTGCCCAGGCTGGTGAGTCCTGGTGCAGGGGTACACCGCCCCCCCCATCTTTCTCTCCCAGAGGCCGTGCAGACAGGGGTGGATCGTGTCCTGCCTGCAGAGCAGAGGGCAAAGCTGGGGCCCCAGTGGGGAGGGGAAGTGAACACACACACACACACACACACACACACCATCCAGAGGTGAGCCTGGGTCCCAGACTCCTGTAGACACTCAGGGCGAAGGTTTATTCTGATGTGCTTTGCATCTGTTGCTGTGTCTGTTTGCTAGGTGGGAGGTTACCCGGCTGCCCATTGGTCTGGGACCGGCTCTCTTCACCCCTCCCTGTACGGAGGTGTGGAAATAAGCCATCACTCACACTCCTTTTCACCTAGTGCTGCCTTCGGCCCAATCTCAAGGCATGAGAGGTGTTCTGGGGGTGCGGGGGTGTCTCTGTCACTGTGAATGGTTCCAGGAACCTGTCTAGGCCTCCAGGATTCTTCCTGCCTTGGGGTCGCTGAGGGACCTTAGCAGCAGAGGGAGATACCAAGCTGCTGAATCTCAGCCAATGGAGATGTAAGAGGAGGATCACAGTCCAAGGCTGCCTGGGCAAAAGCAGGAAACTCTATCTGAAAAACAGGGCCCCCATTTCGGACCTGTTGTTGACTGCTTTGGCATACATGTGAAAACATACCCAACACAATGTGTATACACACGTATATATGCATAAACATGTGGTGCATGCTTATACACAGATGTGCATACACATGATCACATACAATTCCTAAATCCCTATGTGGATCCAGCCAGCTCTGGTATTGCTGAGATGCAGCCTCTCTCATCTGGGCTCAGCTTCAGATGATGATGACGATGGTCTTCTTCCTCCTCCTCCTCCTTCTCTTCCTCTTCCGTGTGTGTGTGTGTGTGTGTGTGTGTGTGTGTGTGTGTGTGTGTATCCCAATACTTGGGCACTGTCCCAGAGCATTTCTATTCAAGGCTGGCGCTCTACCACTTGAGCCACAGCTCCACTTCTGGCTTTCAGTTGGTTTGTTAGAGATAAGAGTTTCACGGACTTTTCTATCCAGTCTGCCTTCAAACCATGATTCTCAGATCTCAGCCTCCTGAGTAGCTGGGACTACAGGTGTGAGCCACCATACTCATTTCTTCTTGTAGTTTGCCAGCTCCAATCCAGGGCGGACAGAGGCTGTGCCCGGCAGGATCTCTATAGAGGGTTTGTCTTTGTGTTGTGTGTCATACACCCACTCTGTGGCCGTTCTTCAGCCCTGAGGATATCTCTGTGGCTTCCAGCTCCATGGTAGCTACTTTCCAAAGGCGGTGGGCCAAACTAGCTTTCTCCTAAAGAACCTACCCAAACTCCTACTCGATCTTTTATTCAATAATAACATTTTAAGATGTATCAGTGCATGTCCTGACTTAGCTTCAAGAATTGTCAGTGGCATAGTGGGGTTGTTTTTTCTTCTTCTTCTTTTCCATAACGACATTTGTTTTCAGTCACTTTTTCCAGCTTTAGATTTACTGGGACAGGAGAGAAATAGGAAATCTGCCCTGGGGGGAGTGGTGGGGGGTGGCTGAGGAACTTGGCCAGAGTTGGGCTGTGCCATGAAGGGCGTGGTGTCATGTGTTTGGGCACTGTGTGCACACCACAGGCTAGGGCTGTCTTGTCTCTAGATCTCCCTGGAAACGTGAGACTCTTTGAGAATGCAGATTCCTAGGCACCACCCCCCACCCCCACTCTGGGAACCAACCAACTAAATCAGGAAATTTAGAGACACGCTCAGCTGCTGTTACCCACGGTTAGAACCAGGTTTAAGTGTGAGCTGGTGGTTTTTCAGCTTAAGTCTTTTTTAATCGGTTGTGGGGTTTGAACTCAGGGCCTGGGCGCTGTCCCTGAGCATTTTTGCTCAAGGCTAGCACTCTACTTCTCCAAACCACAGCACTACTTCCGGTTTTCTGGTGGTTCACTGGACTCATGGGACTTTCCTGACTGGACTGACTTGGAAACCTCGATCCTCAGATCTCAGCCTCTTGAGTTGCTAGATTATAGACATGAGCCACCAGGGTCTGGCTCAACCTCAGTCTTTTAAGACAGTTATGCAAGGCTCCTGGGGCTGCATAAAGCTTAGGTCGCAGGGTTTTGAGTGCAGGCAGGGCTGGGCGCTAGGCTGTTGATGAGCTGTGTGTGTTGGCTTTTTGAATGGGTTAATTACTCTGACAACCTTTCCTTTGTCCAGAACAAGGATAAGCTAAGGATGAGTCATTTTCATGGGTTTTCCTTTTTTTGTTTTGTTTGTTGTGTCATTTTTGTTTAGAGCACACTCCTCAAAGCAATCCTTTATCATGAATTTGTCTTGGAAATACAGTCTGGGGGAGGGGGGAGTAAACATCCAACCTGGGTGCTAGGGCTCACGCCTGTCCTCCTAGCTACACAGGAAGCTGAGATCTGAGGACGGAGGTTCAAAGCCAGCCTGGACAGAAAAGTCCACAAAACTCTTATCTCCTATGAACTATCAAAAAGCCAGCAGTGGAGTTACGGCTCGAGTGGTAGCACACTAACTTTGAGCAAAAAAAAAAAAAGCTCAGGGACAGTGCCTAGGCTGAGTTCAAGCCCCAGGCCCAGCACACACACACACACACACACACACACACACACACACACACACACATTGCATTCTCATATTCTCTCAGCTTTCATGTTTGAGCCTCAGCCAGCAGATCACCATATAACCTCATCCCTAGGCTGCCAGCCATGGGATCCAATAACAACTTCCATGGTTTACACCTTGAAGGAGAGTGTGATTATAAAACCCCCAAACCAGTGATGCTGTAGAGACCTGGTAGATTCGTGATGGCCACAGCGAAGACTTGGAGGAGTCGGGGGGGGGGGTAGCTAATGATGCATGCATGGTCGTGTCTGTACGCTGTGACATCTGTACGCTGTGGAGGAGTGACATGGCGTCTTTCCTTCCTGGCAGGAAAAGACAGCCGCAAGTGTGAGCTCAACTGCCAGGCGGCGGGCTACCGCTTCTACGTCCGGCAGGCGGAGAAGGTGATCGACGGCACCCCGTGTGGCCAGGACGGCGTGGACATCTGTGTGTCGGGACAGTGCAAGGTGAGCATGGTGGGGCGCGGCGCGTGGGCCTTCCTGGGGTCACTGTGGACCCCACTCGGAAGAGCTGAACTCTGGGAACAGTGGAGATGTGCACGCACAGCACACACACACACACACACACACACACACACACAATGGAGGATTAGACAGCCATGAAGAAGCAACAAATCTGTGGTTTCTGTGGCCACTGGGAAATGTGGGCTGAGATGTGGCCGGTGTCAGTCCTGTGCCTTTGATTTTTGAGGATCCCGTTGTGATATGAATCCCGGTCATGGAATTGTAATGTCCGAATTTGAGCATCACTATTGAATGGTTTGGTGTGTTTGGAAGTGCACTGTGTTCCTGTGTGCACACATGTTCAACTGCATTACTCTGTGTCTACACTAGCACACGCGTGCGTGTACACACACACACTTACTGGAACTCACATTTTAAAAGAGAAAGAAAACACCCAGCGTGGGTTTGGCAGGGTGGGCTTGCCCCTAGCCTGGGGCTGTTGCTCTCTGAGACTTCAAACCTGTCTGTGTGGTGATTCTGCAAAACCCACCTATACTCAGCCCCCGTTGCGCTTTCCTGGATTGCCCAACAAATCTCCTGCGGCTTCAAAGATGAGAAGGGCAGAAGTGGCAATCAGGAACAAGTGAACTGGGCCAAGGAAAGGTCTCACAGCCAGGAGGAAAAAAGCACAAAATGATGATGATGATGACGACGATGACAATGATGATGACAGCTGGCACTGGTGGCTCACGCCTGACATCCTAGCTACTCAGAAGGCTGAGATCTGAGAATCATGGCTCAAAGCCAGCCCAGGCGGAAAACCTGAAGTGGGCTATGGCTCAAGTGGTAGAATGCTAGCCTTGAGCCGAAAAGCTCAGGGACAATGCCCAGGCCCTGAGATCAGGCCCCATGACTTATGATAATAAGAATAGTAATAGTAATTAGGACATTCATGGAGAAACACAGCCTGAGGGTTCTTGAAGCTGTGGCTTTGGGGGGAGGGGATATGAGGGCATTGCTGCTGTGGGAATTTCTGCTACCGTCTTCACATTGGGTTTTCTAGGGGTTCGCAGCAATTTCTCTGACCTTCTCAATCCATTGTCTAACAACATGACATTGGCCGCTTTTCCCATTTACTTGGCTAATATTTCATTTTCACACTCTCCTGGGGAGGAAAAAAAAAGTGTTAGTCACGATCATGGTTAAGATTCTTCTGGACCTGAGTCTCTCTGAACTTCATCTCCGGGCCAGGAGACACCTGGGCCCAGGGGACGGAATAGATCATGGATCCAAAGGTTTGATTTTCAACACCCAACCTGTGTCAAAGCTAGACAGGACAGAACCCCAGGGAGTGTGTATGCATGCATGTACAGGTATGTATGTGTGCATGCATGTGCACATGTATATGTCTCTGTGTGTGTGTGTCTCACAGGAGGCTGTGATCAGCAGCACCTTTGGTTTGGGGGTGTCCAGATAACTTTCTAGCAGCTGAGCTCAGTTTCCTGTGCATTGGGAGTGACCTTCAGAGGTAAGAGCTAAGGTACAGAGGCCCCAGGGGGCCAGCCCTGCCTTCTGTGTTCTGCGATTTCCCCTGTGAGGAGGAAGGGTAGCTTCTGGATTTGTTCTGTCTTCATGTAAACATCTGATCCCTTTGGAATGGCCGTGGGGGCCTCTCTACCCCCCTGTGAAGGAACTCCGTGTCTTCTTGTTGCCCTTCTGCCTTTATAGATGAAATAATCCAACGTCAAGCCCGGGATAGAGATGTGGCTCAAGTGGTAGAGCACCTGCTTAGCAAGTTCAAGGCCCTGGGTTCAATCCCTGGTACAACCACACACCCTCCTCTAAAAGAAAAAAAATGTCATCGTGAGACTGAGTAACTTGGCTATAGTTCTCTCTGGGGAAGGGCACGGACAACTGTTTTCCTAGAACTGGCTGGCACTGACACCTAGTGTTGCAAGCTGAAATTACAGCCATATTACAGAAAAGGCCACTTACGTAGAAACTAGCATCAATTGTTGTTTAAGTCCAGGCCCCCAGTAGACTAAACAGACTCCAAAGGAGATGAGACACTCGAGTTGCGGGCAGGACCTGGGGCAGACCTGACTGAGGGTCTCAGCCGCTCCCGGAACTCGTCAGCGCTGCCCACAGCACCCTGTGGGCAGGCCCAAAACAAGCTACTGTCCCGTCCTGGGTGGGTACACATGAATGCCTTTAGCCCAGTCCCCCTCCCTCTAGGTGTTTCCAAGCCTGGTGTACGCATGCACCCTTGGCCACACTGCCTTGATCTGTTTGTGTCACTGTATAAAATCCACAACAGTGAGGTGAGATTTTTTTCCACATGGGAAGATCTGGGCGCAGCTGGTACCACTGGCCCGAACGGGGTGAAGGTGTGCTGGCCTCATCCGAGCTAGTGGCCAGGAGTGGCTGCAAGGCCCAGGGATGAATATGGTCCAAGGGCCTGGCAGGGTCCTGGCCAGTACGGCAGTGGCTCATCGCTTCCCCTGGTTGCTGGAGGGATACAAGCAAATGAAGACCCCGATGTGTCAGACCCAGCCACAATCCCCAACGTCTCCTTGGCCCTGAAAGGGCTGGCCCCTTTGCACACGGGTCAGTGCAGGGTCCTGGCGGCCATTCTTCCTGCTTTACACCATGCTTTCTCTCTGGTCCTCACAGCTACTCTTTGTTGATCTTAGGTTCTTGGCACAGCTAACCTCCCTGGTAAACAGCGGGCTATTTTCTATGACAGATTGCAATGAGTGTGTGTGTGTGTGTGTGTGTGTGTGTGTGTGTGTGTGTGTGTATCTGCCAGTCCTCGGGCTTGAACTCAGGGCCTGGGCACTGTCTCTGAGCATTTGTGCCCAAGACTGATGCTTTACCACTTCCAACAGCTTTTCCTTTAAGTTTGAAATCTCTCAAAATACACAGTTGGAGTGAGAATGAAAGGTTTCTCTTGTTTTCCTTGTTGGCTTCTCTGTCCTCAGATCTCTACCCAGCCCGGCTCTGTCTGGTCAATTGGGGTTTAGCCTGTAATTAAGAGAAAAACAGCCGGGTACCTGTCATGGCTCACGCCTGTAATCCCAGCTACTTGGGAAGCTGAGATCCGGAGAGCAGCGATTCAAAGCCAGAAAAGGCAGGAAGTCCACGGGAGTCTATCTCCAAAATAACCAGCAAGAAGCCAGGGTGGGAGTATGGTTCAAGTGGTAGAGCACCAGACCAGCAAGCAAATTAAGCAAATATGAGGTCCTGAATTCAAGCCCCAGTACTGACAACAATAATAATAATAATGATAAAGTAGAATAAAAATAAATTAAAAAGACTCCACAGATGCCTCATTTGCTAGATGCAGTCCTGTCCCCAGGACTTCAAGGCAATCCTTCCTGCTTTCAGTACAAAACCTTCTAGAAAGATTGCACGCCCACGGCAGCCTGCAGTTGCCTCTACACGCCACGAGATGGCACCTCAGCACAGGGGGAAATCCTCCATGAGTCCTGACTGGATACTGACAAGTTCTTGAATCATGCAAGGTGGAGCTGAGTTAACATCTTGGCTCAGGCTGGGCCTGGAGATGGTGGTTATACCTGTGCCCATGGCTCATGCTTGTAATCCTCAGCTACTCAGGAAGCTGAGGTCAGAGGCTCACTGTTTGAACCTGGCCTAGGCAGAAAAGTCTCCATGAGACTCTTATCTCCAATTAACCCCCTCCACTCCCCCCAAGAAAAACAAAAAACAGAAGTGACACTGTGCTCAAGCACTACCCTTGAGCACAAAGAGGCTCAGGGACAACACCTAGGCCCTGAGTTCAAGCCCCACTACTAACAAGAAAGAAAAAAAGAAAGAAAGAAAGAAGGAAGCCCGGAGTTCAAGTCCAGTGTCACCAAAATCATAAGCAATGCAGACAGGATCAGCACCAGTCCCTTCTTTGATATCTTCAATGAGAAAACATCCCACTTACAATAGCAAGTAGTTTCTGTTGTTTCTGCGTATTTTCAAACCGTTGAACCTTGATATTCTCTCTCCCTCTCTCCTCCTCCTCTCTGTAGTGCAAAACCAGATGTGAGATTCCTTCCGACAGTTGAAAACTGGCCCCATGGTTCTCTTTTGTCTTTTTCCAGGCAAATCCTTCCACATCTGTCCAGACTTCTAGAAAAAGCTCCACACCTCACTGTCTCTGTTTCCAGGCCCCTCTGAGAATGCGGTCTCCATTTATTAATACGACGGGGCTGTGTGCAGGCTGTTGGGTGGTCTAGTTCCCTGACTGTGGTGAGTTTGGACCCACAGTCTTTCTCTCATTGTTACTGGGGTGGTTCTTGAACTCGTGTCCAGTTCAAGGCTTTCCTGGGCCATTGTGCAGGTAAATGACATTTCTGAACCTAAACGGAAGCCTTTGCATTCATCCCCACCCACTTCTTTTGGGGCCCGCTCACTGAAGTCATATAGATATCTGCTGCCCTCCATCCTGATTTCATCCTATTACTTATTTTGCCGGCTTGGGCAGCATGGCCTCTGTTCACAGCCCTTCTATATCTCCAGCCCGCCGTGAGCGGTGCTATGTTGCCTTCATCTGGGTTGCATTTCACCATCTTGTCTGCAAGAATTTCCTGTGAGGTCTGGCCAGACGCCTTGGTGAATCTGTGCGTGCTGCGTCTCGGACAGTCCCAGCTGTCCATCATGGTGACCCTGCCGCTGGCTGCAGAGGCCAAAAGGGATAGGAACAGAAGGACTTGAACTCGGGCTCGGCCTCGCTGGTCACTACCCCCTCAGCCTTTTGGACTAGAGTAGCTCACAGCTGTACGTGTTGTGAGAGTGGACTCCAATCATCCTGGCTTTATTCTCAGTGTGTGTGTATATATATATGTGTGTGTGCATTTGTGTGCATGCAAGCATGCATGCTTGCACACATACCAGTACTGGGACTTGAACTCAAGGCCTTGCAGTCTCATTTGGCTTTTTCACTCAAGGCTGGTGCTCTACCATTTGAGTGACAGCTCCACTTCTGGTGCCTT